AGCCCATGGGGCTTGTTTTAATCTGTAAAGAGATTTCTTTAATCTATACACTTTATGCTTATTTTCGGATTTAACATAAACAAGAAATTGATCGATAAATACATGTTCCTCTAACTCTTCATACAAGGATGTCGATTGAACATGCAATTGAAAAGATAGGCTATGAATTATTTTTTACAAATGCAATTACCAATCCGATTGTATCATGTATGGTAATTGCAACAAAAACTTCTTTATAGTCAATCCTATATTCTTGCATGTATCCCTTAGCCACTAATCGTACCTTATACTCGTCAACATTTCTTTCAATTGTTTCAATTTCATCATCTATAGCCTTCGTCATTTTATTTTTTTGACGAGCAATCCGATAAGTTGTAACGTCATAATCTAAAGATAAAGCAAAATGAGTGATTGGATCTTCGGTTTGGTCAATACATGTTACCTCATAGTCTATCATCCATATGGACCTTTTTCAAACTTAGTAAATATAAAATTCAATTGTTGAATTAGTAACTTCGCTACTACTAGTGAGGTTTTAGTACTCGTTAGAGTTTATCGGTGTAAGGGTTGCTTGTCTTTCTTCTTCGGTTTCACTATCACCAAATATAGGAATATGTGGTTGTACTGTTCCAATCCTAAGTGTTTTTTTCATAAAAAAATGACATCTTTACCAACCACAATTTGCTTTGTTAGTGGATTAAACATTTTATATGTATTTGGATGCTTTACTTGTATTGAGAAATACATGTTTTTCACTTTTATCATCAAGCTTCTCCTTTTTCACATCGAGCATGAGCATAAACGATGCGATCGAAAATTTTGAAGTGATCAACTTTTGGTTTCCTTCGACTCCAAACTTTTTCGATGTCATGTTTTTAACGACAAAAGTAGGACTTCTATTCAATACATAGATGCTTCAATTCATGGCTTACGCCTGAACCTCTTTGAGAGTCTCCCTTTTACTAGCAAGCTTCATATCATGTTAAGGATGGTTTTGTTTTTTCTTTTTGATACACCATTCTATTATGGTGTATAAACTGCTTGTAAGCTCTCTTTGTACGCCATGAGCATCACAAAAACCTTTAAACTCGTAGAGCAATGTTCTCTACCACGATCGGAGAAAAGAGTTTTAATGGTTTTTCCTTTTTCATTTTCGAGCATGCGCCTTGAAGCTTGTAAATGCACAAAAAGCTTCGATTTTACTCGCAAAAAATATAATTGTCAACGAAGGTAATTATGTATTTTTTACCTCCATTGGAAATTATCGTTATAGGTCTACAAATGTCAAAGTGAATCGGTTCCGGGATATTTTTTGCTATCCATGACTCTCTTTGAGGAAATTGTGCACGATGCTATTTGTCAACAATACATTCTTCGTAGACTTGGAAAGGAATGACAATAAGAGGAAGGCCAATCACCATATTTTTACGTTAGAGAGTTTTTAATCAACCAAAATTCAAGTGGTCGTAACGAAAATGCCAAAGCCATGAAGGGTCCGTTCGACCACGAAGCAAAGTTTGAGTACTTTCAATCTTCAATGGAAACAACCCGTTTGAACTCATTTGTACAACAACAATAGCTCCTCTAGAGGGATAATATATTTCACAAGTACCCTTTCTTGCAATTGATGAGCATTTAACAAGTTGTTTTTCTTTACTCTTTCTCTCTCTATGACAAAGCTATCGTAAAAAAAAAAAGCTGCTACTCTTTCTCTTTTTATTTCTACATTCGTGTTTCACTCACTCTAACACTTGTGGAACTAGGCTTTGATACCACTATTAGCAAAAATAAAAAATGAAAAAGAGCTAACGAGTTTTTGACACCGTTATTATTCATAACTTTGAAGCCCTATGTATAGGCTAAGACAAAACGAAATGACAAAAAAATAGGACTCATATACCATTACTCTCCCTATAGTCTAGGCAACTAACCCATGTTCTCATATTAAACAAACTCCTAAAGACCAGGACAAACATTGAATAAATAAAAAATTCTTATAAACTAGGACAAATAAATAAGAAATCAAAGACCCCCACAAAATTTAAACAGATTGCATTAAAAATTTAAAAACATTATAATACTCATAGCAAATATTATAGTAGAAATTCATTGTAATTTGGTAATTTTAAAATATAAATATTAATATCTTATAACCAATATCGAACTATTCATCAAACTTTCTTAATTTACTCTCGAAGCTTAATTTTCAAGAGTTTTAAATTGTAGATATTTAAAATACATCAACAATCAAGACTAGAATAAAAAAAAAATGGTAGATTATCTTATTTTCATTTTCATATTTTCATATTTAATAATTATTCTGCTTATCAAAAAGTCAAACTGACTCTATTCACAAAATGAAATGTCAAAACAAATTTTTTGACACTGACACTGTAGAGCAGCGGCTTGTGACATGTAGTTGTGCCCTAAAGCAATTGAACCAATAAGTGGCGTGGCGTAAGCAAAAACAGCTCTCTCCACATCCTTTGAATGCGCAATTAATATAAGCCTAAGGACCATAGGCATTTTTTCTCAACGAAAGTAATGATACCTTCATTCCGCCCATAGAAATGAAAACATTGTAGGAAGTTAGCATGGGGTTTCGGACTTGCAAGCTTAACGGGGGAAAAAAAAAAAGCCTACGTTAGTACGATTGCTTACTATTTACTAGTATTACTTAAAACATTGATCACTTAGATTTATTTATTCTATTTATCAAGACTCATGTATATTATTTATTTCACTATAAATATTATTTTTTATGTTTTAATTTTTTTTAAATATTTATTATAAAAAATTTCATAAGATTACATTTTTTTTTATTTAAAACATCGTTTTATTTTTTCTTGTAATTTTTTTGTTTGGTTTTGGTATCTCTCTTCTTTTTTTTTTTTTTGATCACTTTGGTTATTTTTTTAAATTAAATATTTTAAAGCAAAAAAATATTTAGAAAAAAATTTATAAAATAATTTTTAACTAAAAATTCATTGGTTTTGACATTTTTTCTCATATTATTATAATTTTTTATTTCAAAATATATAAAGACAAATAAATAAAAAATTTTAATAAATTGTTTTTGAAAAATATAAAGAATAATCAGTTAAATATAAATTTTTTATTAAAAAATCATAAAATTGACTTTATATATTTTGTTAGACATATAATACAACATGAAGTATAAACTAAAATAATTTTGAAAAAATAATTTTATATATTTTATCATAATGTGGATAAAAAAATTAGTTTTGTGATAAAACTAAATCGAAAGCATCCATCACCGGTTCTTAAGGACAGCAGTCACTGCAAATTAACAACGCCGCCCCGTAACTCTCAGTTTCTGACTAAGATTCAAGAGACTCAAATCTATATATTATTGTCCAGGTCGCTGACAAACCTTACCATTGCTTCATTTGATAATATTTAAGAACATGTTATTGCCATTCTATCCAGCTACCTCTGGCCAACACTAATCCATATAGATGTATAATCCAATGAAATATAATCAATTAAATTGAAGATGTTTCTAATAAGAAAATTAAACAGAAATAGAGCATGAAAAGCAATAGAATAATGACAAGCAATGAAGTATAAGATAATTGGGAAAATCTCAGTTTAATCCCAATCCTATAACTTATTTTCAATTAAGTCCCAAGTTTATAAATTTCATCAATTAGGTTTCAAATATTTCCTACATTTCTCAATCGGCTCTTTTTGTTCATGTTAATCAATATTTTTATCAAATTTTCTTCAAATTAATGGTGTTTTAGTGCATAAATATGTGCATTAGATAAAAAAAATGTTAATGTTTCAACTTTTTCATCAAACATTTTCAAATAGACACTATTTTAGTGTTAAAAACATGCAACTTAAATTAAAAATATCAAAAGAATTGACAAAAGGACACCTTTAAGAACTGAAGAAAACATTTAGAACTTCTTTGATAAAATTTATGGGTTTGAAGTGCAATTGATAATGTATATATAGATTTCAGACTACATGCATGGAGAGTGGAAGGTCGTACTCTCTCAGATTTATGGTTCAATGCATGCCCGCCAAATACGACTAAAGTCTTAACTAGTTCTTTGCCTGAAAAACAAACATTATCATAGCACATCTTAAGATAGATATGCCAGACGGTCTTGTGCCCTGCTGGAGATAAGTTTGATTGTCTTCTTATCTTGTTTTATTTATTTATTTCCCGGTGAAACTCTTCTAAAGTTGACGAAAAGGAAAGGCATGGACGTCAGGACATGGATTGACAAAAGGCCACGACTTTGAAATCGGTATGGAACCATCTTTGAGCTGGAAGGAGAAGGATAGATAGGCTATCATCTAATGATGATGTAGGTACATACAGTGTGATTTGCTCGGCGGTAGAATCGCTCTCTATTTACTGCCCTACATTACTCTAGCAGTAGCATAGCGTGCTACACTTCAGCTAATGATTACCTATAAGGTGGTTACTCCTTTATTGCTTTCATTTTCTTATACGTAGACTTTGACTTTCTCCCTTAAGATAGCAATAAAAATCAGGTAAATCTTTTCACAAAACTACCTAAGATTTTACCATGGAAGACAGAATCTTTGGATAATGATTATTTTTGGGATAGCAAACACTCACAATTCAACAATTAAAGGATGCTAACTCTTCTCAGGAACTTTGAATGAACCATTTAGACAACTTCAAGACTTTGTAACTAGAAGATCACGAGTTCAACAAAATTGTTCAAGGTAGATTTACGAGCGGTGGGAATTTATGTTATGATGCAATAATTGTTCAAGTGCTAAATACTTAAGAAACAAAGGTTTAAATGGAGGGAAGAGTGTTTTTGTCCTTACGAGTTTATAAATGGAGAGCAATGCAGAGGGAAATCTGATTCAACAGTCCAGAATCAATTACTGAGGGAAAAAGCTAAAGAAAATCTTCAACAGCAACCTGCAGAATTCAGCTCCTCGTATATCTAAAAAAACATGTATGAAGACATCAATAAAAGCCAAAATTAATCTGCACAGATGTCAGAAGGAATCCGAGCAGCAGGTCGCCCCATTTCATTGCTCCATTTGCGACGGATAGCTATCATGCAGCAATGCCGCATTTAGAGCACGACAAAAGGAGTCCAATCATACCTAAACTAGTCCAAATCATAGGCATCATTGCTGTGTCGGTATATTTGACCGTTACCAGCATTTTAGTAAATTGGAGTGATAAATCAACAAGCAACTTCTTGCAAGAAGACTTTAGGTAGCCTGAGCAGCAAAGCAACTTGATTATCTCAGAAGCAACTAAAAGCGACCGCAGTTGGGTTACCCTATCCCATTTTCTGACTAGAGCATTGGTTTTGTAGGTAGAAACTCTCAGCTGGTGTTGCATGTAACAACCAGACAACAAAAGGATGATAGGAATGCATCTGGAGAGCCACTGAAAGGAATACAGAAGACCTGAAAAGAATACAGAAGACCTGCCAAACCAAGCTTCATAACTCTCAAAGACTCAAGTCAACAGCCTAGCAACCCTTGGCTCCATAACCCTAGTGAAAAGCATCAGAACCAGTGGTTGGAAAACCAAATCAACAATTCAGATTGAATAGAATCAAACCCAATTCCACAATAGCACAAGAACGTTCTGCCTTGACTATCAAATACAAAACGAACTAGCATAAGGTCACCTCATCATGTAATAGCCAATGCTTTATCGTCCTCTGAACTCAAACTTCCAGAAGTACATAAATTCCAGAAACTTGCGACATCATTCTCTATCTTACAAAAGTACACAAATTTCAGAAATCTGCGACACACATCAGAGCAACTCAAATATATCCACTTCTGGCAAAAAAAAAAAAAAAAGATCCCAACAGTGCAGAATGAAGCTAGGATTTTTTCAAATGAATAGAGGATTACAGAGCAGCTATCATGTTTTGCAATTTAATATAGTCATTGTAGATAGAAGACGATGATAGGATGGTATTACAGTCCAACATGTGACAAAGCACAGTGTAGAACCTGCAGTTATGTGTACAGCTTAGAGATCTTCAAAAGCACAAACCTTACTAACAAAAATGTTAGATACCTAATGAAATACGAGCTGGCATTAGCATTGAGTTAAGAAATAAAAAAGCACTTCATGTCTTGTTATGTGATCGTAAGCTATTGCTGAAACTACATACCTATAAATTATTTTTGAAGTTTGGGTTGATCGATGAATGAAATTACAGTTTGTTTTGGTTCATTTCACATTTGAATGAAATTACAGCTTGTTTTGGTTCATTTCACATTTATAAAAGTATAACATCATAATAATCTAAACAGTTTTAATGCTTCTGTCATGTTACCTTTCATGCACCAACCAAGTATTAACACACCATAGACATAGATATCAGGAACAAAACCAACCTTCACCACAGAGAGATGAATTTGGAATGCCCGTGTCCTCCATGGGAACATAAGCATTAATTAAAATTGCATATGTCAGCTTGGAAGGAGAGATGTCTCTAACCTCCATCTCCCCCGCTAATTGAGCAACTCCTGCTCAATTTCCAGCCTTGGAATATCCGTCAATGAGAACATTGTACGTCATCAAAGATGGGGACTGACTAATTGACTTCATCAAATAAACTTGAGGCCTCATCCATATCCTCAACATTACAAAATGCATCTATTAGTGTGTTATGTGTGATTAAATTATGATTAATCCCAGCTCTCTTCATTTAATCCGCCAACTTCTCAGCCTCTGTCACGCATTTCATCAAACAATTCAAAGGCTCTACATATTTTCCCCTCATTGTAATGCTCATTAATCAAACAATTGTAAGTGTAAAATTTGGAAAATTTCTATCTAAGCTTCACCTTCTCGTACAAACCAAACCCATCTTTCTCAATCCTTTTTTAAAGAACCCCTTAATCAAAAGCCTGTAAGTAAGCTGATTAGCGACCAAACCCTCTCGGCCTCTCCCGTCTAATCAAACAACAATCTAGCTCTTTCAAAATCACCATTCTTACAACAGCAATCAATCAAAGTAGTGTATAGACACCCATCTCTTCTAATCGTTTCCGTTTTCTGCTGCTGGTTTGTTAGTGCTAGAAAATCTGTAAATGGCTACTACTAGTCATGAAGTCTCCAACTTCTCAAATTTTAATGGGCCTCCGGTGGTTATACCTCTCTTCTAGTTCTAGCCCACTAATGTATTGGGCTCAAAAATAGTGTTGGAAAGGGGCTTGTTTTTCTTTTTTGTTTTCTGTAATAGCCACCAAGTTTTAGCCACTTTAATTTCGTTACGACAACTACCAAGCTCAGAGGAATTGATCACCAATAACGAAATTTTAATTTGCTTTTTTGAGAAGGGAAAATATTGTTTGCTTGTTTTTTCTTCTTGAGAAGGGAAAATATTGTTAACTTACAATGAAAGGTCATTCTTGCAAGTTGCAACACATTTCGAAATTTTAATGTCAAATTTCTTTTTAGGCCAAGAAATTTTAATCACAAATGTGCTTGCAAGTTGCAACACGTGTTTTTTTTTAAAAAAAGGTCATGCTTTTGTGAACAGTGTAAGTGGCTGAAATTTATAATCATCTTTTGAACTTTAGCACTTTTTAAAATGGATCCTCAATTTTTGGAACGTTTTAGTTTACCCCTTTAACTATTCTTTTATTATTATTATTGGGACAACTCTGTCATTCTGCTCTCTCTTACCTTTGTTTAAAACCTCAAGGGATTGATTGAGAGTTAAGGAGGTTTGCTTTCTTTTTTAATTTTTTTGGTTCAAACTTAACCGGTATCTAGAACAATTTATTAAATTTTATGAATTCACCAGTACGATATATGGAGTGCGTTTTTAAGATTAGGAGTGAAACCACAATAACTTGGTTTAGTATGTTTGGTTTAGTAGTGTGGTTTTTATTTCGATTTGGTTTAAAAACCAAACATTTTCAAATAACCAAAATTCCTTTTTTTCTCTTTCAATTTTTAGTTTTAAAAATAAAAATTAAAAATTAAACTAGAAATTTTATTTGAAAGAAGAATTAAAAGCCAAATAACCAAACCAAAATATTTTGGCTAATGTAATTTGGTTTGGTTCGATTAGGTAGGGCTTGATTTTTGAAAAAACCGAACCGAATAAACCGAACTAACTACTATTTACTCATCTCCATTTAAAACCATTCGGTAAGAAATTTAGTTTTATTTGACAAGCAAGCCAATCTAAAGATACCATTTTTTAAATAAGAAAAGAATAAGAGTTTTTTTGGCTTTCCCACCCAAATAAAGTAATTAGGTGTTGTTTGGTAATCGGGAATAGAATGGTGGGAATGAGAATGAAAATTTTATTCTCATATTGTAGTTGTTTGGTTAAAAGAAATGAAGTGGGAATGGAAATGAAAATTTACACACAACTTCATTCCCACATAAGATGTAGGAATAAAAAATAAGAAATGAGAATGAATTTTTTTTTCAAAATAATAATATATTTTATTTATTTATTATCTATTAGTTAATTTTACCACCACCACCACCATCGCAACCATAACTACCACCACCACCACTACCATCACAACCATCACCACTACCACCATTGTTACTACCATCACAACCACCATCGTCACCACCACTCCCGCAATCACTACCACCACCACCATTATTAGAACTCGCCATTGTCATAACCACAATCATCATCATTACCTTTATTATTTTTACAATCATTATAGTTTAATAAAATTATTTCTTTAATCATTATTTTTATTTGTATAAAAAATCAAATATTAAAAAATTTAAATTGCATTTCGATTCTTCATTAGTATTCCAAACACAATATGAAAATACAAATATCATTTTGATTTACGCATTTTCATTCTCATCACTCTATTCCCGATTACCAAACGAGTACTATAATATAATGTATAGTGGCTACTATTCATGTATGAATTTTCTTTTTAAATGGAGTTAAAGTTAATTTTGGGACTTTCTCTTTATAGACTTGGAAATTGCTTTCCATATATATACACACACACATGCGTATGTGTATGTGTGTGTATGTATATATATATTATAAAAAATTGATTGCCTAAATCTTGATTCAAAAGAATGGTCCAAAAATATAGTTAGAATGTGAAAAAAATACCTTTTATATAAATGCAAGCATATTAAATAAGACAAGACAATAAAATGAGATACATTAATTAATTGCAATAAACTTAACATGATAACATGACTTCATAGATCCATTTTAAGGAGGGAGAGATACGTAAAAATGAGAGAAAAAATCACATAAAAATTCACAAAAGTTACAAAAATATTTTCACTTAAGCTAAAATTTTATATTTTTTTAATGTTTTTTTTGTTTTTTGTGTCTAACTTTTTTCCTGTAAAATGAGCATTTCTAATTACTTCTTAAATACCATAAAATTTCTTAATATAATACATTCACAACTCTCGAGAGACTCACATCTTCTTTTTTAGACTCCAAACTCTCTTGCAAAAGATTAATTAAAATGATCGTACAAAGGGTGTGCATGTGATAATACTTCAAATTTACATGAAGAAGATTGAGAACATTATAAATTAGTCTCATTCATTTTGAGAAACCAATTAATTAGTTTTTCTTATTTTAAAAAATAATAATTTAGTCCTTATGTTTTGAAATCTATTTGAAAAAAATATGAAAAAATTAATAAAAAAATAAGAATTTTTTTAGAATAAAAATAATATTAAATTAAGTATGTTCAATATTAATTAAATAATAATTTTTAAAGTAAGAGGGACTAATTAATTTATTTTTTAAAATTAGAAGGCTTAATGTATAATTTACTCTAAGAAGATTTGCATGGTCAATTATTTGTGGCGTGGCTCTCTTCCTCTCCTCTGTGACGCACCCACACTAATTGAAGCTAATAAGCAAAAGCTTTTCCATTTTTTTATAAATCTGACAAAAACAAATAAAGCACTCATCTAAGAAGAATGGGGTCACTCTTTTCAGGCTAACGTGACATTTGGGACACTGGATTGGGTCCTCCAATAATGATCAAACCAATTACAACTCCGTTAAGCAAACACTAGATAATTATAAGTGTCCATGCACCCATTGGTTGTTCTAGAGTACATCAAAAGTACAAGCTTTTGCTTGCATTTCCATGCCTTTATATAGCCCCTCTCCTCGCCTCTCTCCCTCTCGTTCCAAAACAAATCTCCTCTCTCTATTTCCTTCTCTCAAAAATCCCAAGAACAAGAAGGAAAAACCCTCTCAAAAAAAGAAAAAAAGGAAGATATAAAATAAAATGGAGCAAAATCTACCAGTGATAGCCAGAAGAGCATGGAGCATAGTCCGTGTTATCTTCTTCATGCTAAGAAAGGGCTTATCAAAGAGAAAACTTTTGGTTGATTTCAACATGATGCTTAAACGTGGCAACAAGATTGCAAGCAAAGCCATAGGTAACCTCCTGTCCCACCACCACAACGACCACCGCAACGCCTCATTCACATCCCCACCATGCGAGTATGAGTTCAGCTGTAGCAACACTCCCACATACTCGCTTCCCTTCCATATCAATAAGCGCCGTCACCACCACCATCACCACAATAACTTCTTCGCATGTGCATTCAACGCACCACCAACTCATGACGATCACGATATTGTGACCATGAATGCTGTGAAGCTGGCTTTGGAGATGCTGAACGGCAATGAGTTGCCTGTACCTGTGGAGGCGTCCCCAATGTTGCCAGGGTTTGGGAGGAGTCCAATGGTGAGGCAATTGAGGATAACAGACTCGCCGTTTCCATTGAGAGATTTTGACGACGATAATGGTTTTGTGGACAAAAAAGCTGAAGAGTTTATCGAGAAGTTCTACAAGGAATTGAGGCAGCAGAAGGGAATGAGTGGCTAATTAAGATATAGGAGCTAGTCTTGTTGGGTATTATTGTTGCTGTTGTTGATAGTTGATAGAAAAATAAATGTTTGCCTCATAACTGTCCATTTAAGTTGTTTTGTTTCTTGTTAATGTTCTTGATGAAGAAGGTCTGTATAAGGAACGAGCAAGAGGTGTATATTTCAGGGAATTTAATGGTACCTTATATCTTCCTAGCTACCATCTGCTCAGTAATTGTGGCGTCAATTTCAAAAGGTTGAAAAATAAACCTAGCTTTGATACGAAAAGAGATATAAAATCAAGAAGAAAGTGTTTTTTCATGAATCACAATTTTCATAAAGTTTTTCAATAGTTAGTTTTATTTTTACGGATGATTATATGCAGCAAGAAACAAATCTGAGTTTCGGGATTTCTTCTCTCTTTCCTTTCAGTTAATGGAAGCCTTCTTTCATATATATATATATATAAAGCAGCTCTCTCTTATGTTTCTTATTTAGTTCTATGGAGATTAAGTTCTTCACAATTCTGGGTTTGATTTTTTATCACCAATTTGCTCGCCATGCGTATATGATGCTTAGCTCCATCCATAGTTTTAATGGGTCTAAGCAGCTTTTACTGCCTTACTATCAAATGCACTAATTACTTGTCCTGATACGATCCCACTAAGCTAAAGTAACCTTATTAGCTGCCCCCCTTCCCAGCGTCAACCTTTTGTTTTCAACTTTGCCTTTTTCTCTTTTACGTACACTTTGAAGTTCTACATGAAAATTCCCCTTGTGCCAGGTTTTTCAATTGGTTACTTTAGGGTTTGAATTCAGAGTCAGATCCAATAATTATCATGTTACAATATTATTTGGAAGCATATTTTGAATTCTAATCAATTGATTGATTGATTAAATTTTGCATCTAATAAAAATTTCTTGCATCAAAATTAACACGAGTAATTTTTTAATTATATATATATATATATTTCTGAATTATTCATTATTTGTGTTGGACTAATCAATATGGTACCTTGACATATAATTGCAATAATAGGTTCCATATAAGTTGACATAAATCACAATTTGCGTCGTGCTTATCAAACTTTTCAAAGATCCAATCATGATAGACCACGTCCAATGCTCGACACAGTTTAAAAAGAAGAAATTGACATATATTCATTTTTTTCTTGGGTCTGATTAATTTGAATTATTTGCACCATGCGCTGTAATTGGCATTTTATGCAGCTCCTCGAGCATAGATATTTAAATATAAATCATAAAATGCAAACAAATTAACCATTGTTGTCGAAATTGGTTAAATCATCGACAAGGATTAGGTATGGTATATCAAATTAGCCGTTTCTCTCGCTAAAATTGGTTTGATCCTCGCTAAAAAAGCTTACCAAAGAGAAAGGAAAAAGAAAAGATCTAGGAAAAATTGGATCATATATATGTTATTCCATTGCTAATCCAGTACCAGAACTAATTAGAACTTTCAAGAACCTACAACTAGCCAGAAATAGAAAACTCTAACAAAGAAAACCTTCAAAGTACAAAATCAACGCCGCTATTATTGCTCAGTTAAGCAAGAAAACTTAGGAAATTAACAATCACAAACAACGTTGACAGTAACAATTTCCAATAAATTATGAAAATGATTGGTATAATAATCATGTTATAATAATAATATTTGATGTAATGAAAATGAGCTGGATCTAGTTGCTTGTGGGCAAAGATCTTTGTGTTTGCCAAGCAAGGCGGGCAAGATCTAATAGTAATCTTTGTCCCTTTAACTTTTTGTAATTCACAATATTGAAATATTGTGGGTGGCACACTAAAAAGACCACCATAAAGCCAAGAGTTTAGGTAAAAATGTTAGGTGATTGAAGTGTGAAGTTAAGGGTGAGAGGCAGGACACATGTTGCGTTTTGAACTTAGTACAGTTGTCTTCTTTCTAACATGCTTCACGTTTAAACAATTTTAGTCTTGTTTTTATCATGAAAGCGACCTTTCTATAGCATTATTGTTAAGGACGGCAAATGTGTGTCGTTTCAATTGTAAAAGTACTACTGCTAATTAAGTAATGAAAAAGTTATATCAAAATTGACCTGCGTGAGTTAAGTCTGATTTAGTGAAAAAATCGCGGCGCTTATTTTGTCATGCAAGAGAAAAAATTTGACAATCATGAATTTTAAACTATCGGTCAGTAATAATTACTTATTGATACAGTAGTAAATTAACTGATTGTTAAATGAGTTTTTTATTAATATATAAAATTTAAATTCTAAAATAATATTTATTAAAAAAATTAAATATTATTGTTTATATTCTGAATATTATTAATCATATCTCTAATATAAAATAAAAGTAATCGGAAAAAACCAAAAAATACTAACCAAGCCATACTCTCCTCCTGAGGTTGTGTACGTTTTTTGTTTTTTTACCCTCGTGTCTCTTAGGAAAAAAAAAAAAAGGACTGGAATTGTATTTTTTTTTTTTAGTTTAATGGTAAAAATATCCTCGAGCAGTTTTTCTTATTTTTGTACGAGTCTTTTGAAACCATATATTTATTGTTAGATTGAAAACGGAATACAAAGTGACTCAGAGGACATGCTAGGTATATAATTAGAAAGCCTTATGAGTTAATCTATTCCATAAACTAAAGGAATAATCATGCATGTAAGAATTAAGTTGTAGAGATTGAAATATATGTGATTCGTGGTTTATTGCATTAAGTAAAATTAGTATGAGGGTCTGATTAATTGGTTAGCAATCGATAAAGCAACACTCTTTAAGGGAGCTTGGAGGTAAAACCCTCGAAAGATCTATAAAATCTTAATAAAAACAAAATTAGTATGAGGGTTTGATTACTTTAGTTATCTATATTATAAATAGGAAACAAAAATTTTTGTGTTTGCAACCGTTGCTTAAAAAACCTAATAAAAATTTCTAACACGGACGATAAGTATTTTGTTGAACTACTTAAATTTTATACCGTGTGATTGCTATTATATCTATACTTTGTTTTTTACTTGATTTACTAACAATAATTAAGTTAACCTAACACTAGTCTAATTTATCAAATCATATTGTTAGTCACTTGATGTAGATATTTGACATAAGGACCCCATTTCATTTATTGTCAAAATAATTAATCATTGTCTTAAGTCATTATGCTTACAAACTGCGAAATAAATAGTTGGTTTTTGATATAGATAGAATAAAAAGTTATTCTCGAAACAAATGAATTAGAAAAGGACAGCAATTCAATTATTGAAATTAGTATCTTAATCATTTTATATGTTGATGATCTGAAACATTCATGCTGCATAAGCTATTAGATATTTTTGCTAGATATTTTTTCAGTCATGTTATTTCTTGTAGTTGACTGGTCAAAATCACCTAACACGAATCTTTAAAACACTTTCCAAAAAGTTACCGATTAATTTACAACAGCTACAGCTTTTACAAATAAGATTTCTCTATACAACTCACTAGTTGCACTACTTTTCTGCTTTTTGATGTGGTGGATTCAGTATATATGATATTTTACATGCCAATTAACTTAATTTAGATCGCTACCAATTACCAATGTGGTGGCTACATTAAATATTGTGCATATATGTTCAACCATGTCAACCAATATTTGGACCTTCTTTTTTTTAATGATAGTTGATCTGTGTGAGCCAGGGCAAAACTCTCAATTTTCTTAAACTTTATCATTATATAGATAGGCCTAAGGTAGTATAGTTTTTTTTTTTTTTTTTTTGGCAAACATCAACGGATGGAGGAAGCCTGCATCCATAAACGAATGCAAAATCACTAAGGATCTGTTTGGTCATGCTTAACTCATAAGTATAATAGGACTTAACTTGAGCATTTCTTAAAGTACTACTATAATGAAACAAATTTGACAATTTAGAATTCATCAAACGAGGAACTCAATACTTTTTTTGGTGCCATGCTATTTGGGAAAAAGGATTTTCACTTGTCTATACACAGTTATGTGTCAGCCAAAAAAGTGAAGTCTTACGGTATTATTTTTTTTTTGTTACAAGGCTCGAACTTCAATAACTACGCGTATAGTCATTATAAATTAGCTGTTGTGCCCTATGTTGCGACGGTATTTTGCATAGTTGATGCTAATTGCATTACTAAAGATTCAATGATGTATTTTAATGATTAAATTGAGACATTGTGAGTAAATACAATCTAATCAAATGATGTGGTCATCCAGTAATTTTCAAACTCTCGCAATAAATTTCGATGGTGTAATTAATATATTAACTTCGTTTTTCAAGTATCAATGTTCTCAATCTTTCAAGCATGAACACTTATTTTAGAAATCGATTCAAAATAAAAGTTTTGGTGTACTCGTAATGCATAGACATATGTACAAACTCAATCTCACTTCCCGAAAATAAATTTATGTTTGAAAATTTTTAAAAACAAAACGCTATTTTTTTAAGAAAAAACGTCATCATTTTATTTCTCTTTTCATACCAAATGTTAAAAAATATTTATGCTTATATAAGGTAATATCTTAAACTATAACTATTTTTTTTTAATAATCTTACCACGAGTAGGCTACATAATGATTAGTAATGGTTGTAATACGTATTAATAATAAGTAAAAATATTTAATAACATAATGATTAATTGTATTAATATTACTGTACTTGTTCTCCCAGTTAATAGCAAAAAAAAAAATATTGTGTTTGCTTTTTAAAACAAAATACTATTTCTTAATTAAAAATATAATCATTTTATTTCTCTTTTTATAACAAATGCTCAAACATATTTACACTAAACGATAATAAATAACAAATTAATTATTAAATTACAATTATTTTTTGTCATAAACTAACGATGGTTAGTGATAACTATTAGTAATAATTGTAATAATTATTAATAGTAATTGATATTATTTAATTTCATTATGATTAATTATATTAATATTATTGTAATTGTTTTTTTTTCATTTAATAGCTATGTATAATTTTTTTTATATGGTGAAAAAATAAAAATTTACGACAAGTGTCGAGACATCACTCCTCGTTGCATTCATGTTTTTATAGTTCATGCATGCTTTAGATGTTTGGTGTGGGGGTGGACCTGACCTCATTACAATATTCCACAATTAAAACGGTCTTGATTTTATTATTTATTAATATCGTGTGAAAAAGAAAAGGGTTGGCAATTATAATTGTTCAAGCTTTGTACTTCAAGGAAAAACATGGCAGTGTGCTCGCCAGATTGCAGCTTCCAAATGTACAATGAGCTTGGAAACTTGATTAAGGCAAGCACGTGGGGAAAGGTGGCTAAATGAAGGAAGCTTTGTGAAAAGGTCAATTTCTTTCATGCTAAGCTTTCTTCGACGTCTCCCATTAAAGAAAAAGGAGGATTTTGAAATAAGTGGGCGCATGATTGTCATTTGGGAAACGGGGACCAAAATACAATAACACAAACGGTTAATTTTATGTTATTAGATAGGAGAAAAAACGTAAAAGAAGTATCTTGTTTAATGTTTGGTGTATTTTCCCTTCGATCGTAAAGTTTTGTTTTTGGGCATATTCGTAATATATGGATTTTCTTTCTTTCTTTTTTCTATATATAGATTTGTTTGATTTACAAAACTAAAGACTCGAATTCCACTCTCATGTAAACATTAACGTGAATGACTGTATTCCAATTGATCAATTAATGACGTACAATTGACCATTAGCTAGCTTTGTGTCTTTACTTTTTTCTTGTTAATTCTTCCAATTAAATACTACCATATGTATAATCATATCCTACATACGAGACGGGAATTATGAGAAATTTAAATTGGATAAGATTTTTTTTTATGAATTTATGTATAATAAGAAATTCTTTTTAAACAGTAAATATAAGCATGACGCATGCCAAATTCACTATACCTATGCATTTTTTTTTTAATTTTTAAGATATTTCAAATCCAAAGAATCGGACAATTTTTATTTTTATAATATAAAGCGTTGCATGTATTATTAATACATACAAATGTATGCATCTTAATAATTTTATACTTATTACTTGTACGACATGGAAGCAATTGCATGACAAAGATAAAGATTAGACATTTAATGCGAATATCAATTTATAATTGAAACGCAACACACGTGATCAAGACATGAATGTCATGTATAATTAGGATTTCCAAAATGCGCTCAAAGAAATGGCATTATATGCATGGATTCTTTTGCATTTCATTAAAATACATGCAAAAACAAAAGAGGTAATTATAATAGTATCTTTAATCTTGTAAAACTAATTAAATAGTTTTATTTATTTCACTAATTAACTAGTTCTTTAACTAGGGTTGATGGTGGTTAATTTAACATTATTTTATCTTAAAAAAATATCTTCTTTTTTAATCAATTTTTTATATTTTTTACATACTACAAGAAAACTAGGAAATAGCAATGGATTTTTTTTCTTATCACTATTTAGCCTCAACAAAGAATTTGCAACAATATAATTTCAGTAGTAAATGGGGTCGTCGTTATTTTCTTAATGGTGAAATTTTTTTCCAACGCAAATGCATATAATTTTTGTCGTTAAATCGAAGTAAACATTCGTCTCTCTAGTCTATTCCTATCACCAAACTATCGCTAATTGGTTATTTCCGTTGCTAAATAACGATAGAATCGCCATCGCTAAATCATACTCACTAATTTTTTTTGCAAATCCATCGCTATTTAGCGAACCCATACATGTGTCTATAGCAAAGAGGTTTGATTTTTATCTCTAATTCGATTACTAATCCATTGCTAAACGAGAGAAATTTTTTATATATAAATTAATAGTTGTTTAATGTTAATGATAGTAACAAACAACTAAAAATAATACCTTAGTAAAATACCATATATTATTTAATAAAATTAAAATAATGTAAATTGAAATAAAAAAAATATATAGATGCATTAACATGTACAAAAACGTTAAAAACCTTTTAAAAAATAAGAAATTTAGTCTTCATCGTCATCATCTTTCGATTGCTGAGTATTGAGAGAAATGATTGACTCTTGGGTTGTGTCTGTCATTATTTTTTAGTTTTCTTGTAATAACATTTTTTTATTTCTTAAAAGAAAAAATTAAAATAAATTGAAAAAGAAACAAAAAGAATTTATTTATAAATGGATTAAAAACAGAAAGACTAATTCATTAGTTTTTGAAATTAGAAAGAATATTTAATTTATTTCAAAAATTAAAGGGATTAATTTATAATTTACTCTAAACAAAAAATAATTATAACAAGGAAAAAAAAACTTTTTGTCTTGCAATTAGATTTGGATCTAGGAAGAAGAAAGTCTTGAAAACGACCCCCATGCAAGAAAAGAGTAGTGGTTGGAAAGGCTGCCATGCTAGTGCTCAATAATTGAACTGTTTACCTGTGCACTAATCTCTCTCTCTCATATAATATGCCAAGAACATACTTCCTATCATCTTTTTGGCCATCGGAACCTTTTGAATATTCAAGATCTAAGTTGGTCGTTGAAATTGAAGAAGCCATGCGGTCCAAGAGGAGTGTATATTTTGATTTTGAGCCACTTGATTTATGATATTTTGCATTGCATACTAATCAAAGGCAAAGACAAGTTCCAGCAAGAGGCACCTCAGACCTCACCACACCTATGTCCCTGTGATTCAACTTCTACCAAGGCCTCTTATCAATGTCCGTCAAATAAAATTTTGAATCTGTAAGGTCATTATTGATCGGATAGCAATACGGGCATGATGAATAAAAAAAGAAAGTTATAGGTTAAGGTAAAACTATTGATGACAGTTCAAAACAAAATCCGAACAAAAGGTTTATAATTCGGCTACTAGCTAGGTTAATAAATTATATACTCACCAAAAAGAAAAGAAAAAAAGAGAGAGGTATAGTTTAAGGTAAAACTATTTATCACGTTTTGACTTGCTTTTGTTGCGTTCCCTAAGAAACTGTTACATATTTTATTTGGTTGCTAAGGAAGCGCATTTCTCTTTATTTGTGTGTGCTAAATTATTGGGAAGCAAGCTTACTAGAATATATAATTAGAAAAAGTTGTGTCTCCTTTCTCATTATTTGTTTCAACCAAATGTTCCATCCATGCTAAAGTTTAAATTAAAGTTGATGCTTTTTTGGTCACTTAGAACTAGCTTAGAATTAGTTGTTGTATACTTGCCTAAAGCTATAATTAACACATGGAAGTCTAAAATCTCGTGCTCATCCAAAGAATGTATATTGGAAGAAGCTTATTTCTTTTGGGCAACAAGGAACAACTTTGGGATAGTGGTGGTGATTATCTCAAATCAAGTTGTGAATCTACCCTAAACCCTACACGAAATAAAGTCATTTGGAGTCATCAATCCAATTCATCATACTCATTTGGAACAAAAAAATATATATCCCCATCCAAATTAAGCAATGGTTTAATGATATTAAAAGCTCTTATGGTATCAATTTTTGACACAACAGTCATGTAATTTCAGTATGGCCAATTGAGTGTTAGATGGCTTTCGTCTCTTCGTCTGTTATATTTTACATGTTTGATCTAACTACTAGTGTAACACGAGTTAAAAGTTAGTAATCTTTATTTACAATGTGTTGCATGCTAAAGAAACAAAAAAGTTGTGCATTTTGAGCCACATAGAATGATTATTTTGATGTTTTACTTTTTCCATAATCCATATCAATCTTTTCTTCCTTTCCATCTTTTGCTGCAGGTGTCTTCTTTCACACTTGCTAAAAAAAAAATTTCCTTTAATTTTGTTCTTTATGCACTTTCGATTTCTACGTTCTGCTTCTCTTACTTCTTATTTCGAAAAGTATAGTATAACATAACTGCATTATCCTATAATATATATTTTCTTATGCAAAAGATTAATGCATGCTCCACCACTCTATAACTAAGTTAAAAGGGGGCTCCATTTAACGTGTAGCAGAATAGTTCGATTAGTTCTTTGTTAGCTTTTAAACAGGGATGAGGAAGATGTTCCAATCCGAGATAGGATTTGTGGATTAGATCAAACTTGTTCCTATCCATATGGAGAGGGATTTCTTTAGACATTGATTTACCCCATTTAAGGATGTTTTGCAAATGGGAAACATGATGCAAGCTAATGAAGTTTTATGTTTCCAAGTTATCATATGTATACAAATCTATTACGAGCATCCAAGTAAAATTAGATTGAAATCAACTGTTTCTTTCTTTTTTAATTTTAAGATAGCAATGATTATTTTTTTTATTTTTTATTTTTAGTTTTGTGGTCAAGTGATATTCCCTGATTAATTTCTATATCAAGATTAAACCTATTTCTTTATCCGGTTAAAAATTATAAAAATAGAAACTTTTTATGGATTCATGAGAATTTTACTTCTGGTATGAAAATTGGAAATCTTAACCGTCAGTGAGCATTCACTGCACTCGAGTGTCTTTTAAATTGACTTCAATATTCCACGTCTAGGTTCAAAATCAGTTATATGATGCGGCATCATGATTAAAAAAAAAACGGACGGCAAAGATACAATTAGAGCTGGACAGTGTTGATACTTGAATTTGTATGGAAAATCCAACTCAAAATCACTGTACGTTTTCATAAATGTATAGAATTATTAGAATATAAAAACATCTAAAATTAATCCAACTGCGAAGATCGTATCCCCATGTTTGATCCTGCATATCTGTTTTTGACGTGGTACATGTGGAAAGTGTAGCTTTTCCATATATGGTAGTAAATTAAGGTTTAGTATTATTATCTCACAAATAAATTAATGATTAATTTACTATTAAACAAGTATTGATTTATAAATTAGATTTAAAATTTAAATTTTATAATCGATATTTCTAAGAATTTATTCTCATAATATCTAAATTCGTGTTTTAAAAAGTCCTCTTTAGTCACGTCTAGGAGATATTAGTTTTGAAGTATATAAAAATTGATTTAAAAAAAACCCTTCTTGTCATTGAACCAAATAAAAAAAAAAAATAATGATTAGCTAGGCTTGACTTTTGGGACATGCTTGCTCTTTACCCTCCCTCTTACTCGCTGGAAAATAAATTTGTAATTTGCATGGTATTGGATGTATTAATTTATAGGTGCATTTGGGATAAAAGAGTCTAGTCCCTCAAATTATTTGGAAATGTCTTTTAGGTCCTAGCTACCACCAGTGTTCTGTGAATTAGGACAAAAGCAATGGAGCATTGGATGAGGACTTGGGAACTGCCGAAACAGTTGACAGAGTGGGAGGTGGGATGCCAAATAATTCATCATAGGAGTGTATCATAACTTCGTTCCTATGTTTTTAAGAAACTACTAATAATTTAGTCAAGTATTTGATCTATGAATTTTCATGGTCATTTACGATATAATCCTTTATTATTTATCCTCGTTTTGAGGTTCTAACCTGTCACTTTA